CTAAAAGTCCCAAAAGGTTTTGATCATGTTTATCCCATTAGCCAAAATAGAATTCCATATCAACCTGGTTCCAAAGTACTATGGGAAATGAACATTTTAAGTAGACACACTGCTAGCCAAGAAAGAACCCATAGGTAATAGATTTCATTAACAGGGAAGAATTATATTAATGGAGAAAATGAGGGAATAAATATTGAATAGGCCACTAGCAATGACTGCCATACCATCAACTTTGCAATCAGATCCCAAAAGGAAAAGTAGCCTTAGTCAAATCAAAGATAGCGTACCTTGCTGGGGTTTTTTTTACGATTTGATGTTTTAGACTAATAATTTACTGAAAGTTGCAGCTAATAAAGGTAGAAAATTTAGAGTGTGCAGTCATTTATATCTGTAATTTTACTCCTTATCTTCTAGCTATGTAGGATTTGATGAGTCATTGGTAATATCTCTTGGCATTTATTTTCTAATTTACAAAATGGGAGATATTTTTGAGTAAGCATGTTATCTTTGGATAAAGGACATCCACAATTATCAGATAAGTTGCATTTTTCTCAAAATTCCTGTAATTAGTAATAATTTTTAATGACTGAATAAGATATTCAGAAATATGAATTGTCAATAAAATTTTTCCGATCATTATTTTTTCTAATAATCTAAGAAAACCATTCTAAGTAAATGATTAGCTGATAGTAAGAAGTGCTACAGGCTCTATTTAAACCAAATAGGTATTCAATAGAGTATAAATATGCTTTCATAACTGAAAAATCTGGTAAAGTGAATTGCACCTTGGCTCTGTTTACATGCATGGCAGGAAAAATAGCCCTTCATTATTCTGGCCTCACTCAGACATTGAAGGTAATATCTTTGCTTCTTTTATATGGCATAGATGTGAGGGTCCCTCTGATTGCTGCAATATTTCCAGTCAGCAACAGCTAGCACGCTATGAGTGGACATTGCATTAACAATAATTAGATTACTTTATATGTAGAAACAGTCATGGTGATGGACCAGTATTGAGTTGTAACAACAAGAATAAAGAGGTTTAGTCCAGTCCCTTGCTTTTTTATCTTGATTAATGCTCAAAGCATAGATCTGTGAACAGTTCTTTCCTCTCTGAAACTTACATGTACCCCATGACCTATTCTGTCTTGCAGAGAACACTGATCTTAGGCAGATTCCAGTCTCAGTATCCCGTGGGGCATAGATAGAGTACACATAATGTTGGCTCATGCTATCTATATAAAAGTAAAAGAACAGAAGACCATTAAGCATAAGCAGAAGAAGGCAGGAGTTTAAACATGACTAAACCTCAGTCATAACAGCAATGACAATGGGAACAAGAAAATAGGAACAAGCAGTTGGAAGGAAATTGTAGCTAATACTTAGTAGTGTTTATGTTTTCATCTGTATAAAACTTAACTTTTGTTATCTTATATAACTAACATTATTATTATTAACTAGCATCATTATCCCCATTTTACACATAACAAGTTAACTACTTTTTTTAGACTTTATTTATTTATCTTTATAGGGGAAGGGAAGGAGAGAGCAAGAGAAATATCAATGTATGGTTGCCTTTCATGTGTCCCCCTGCTGGGAACTGGCCTGCAACCCAGGCATGTGCCCTGACTGGGAATCGAACAGCGATTGTGTGGTTCACAGGCCTGCGCTCAATCCACTGAGTTACACCAGCCAGAGCACAAGTTAACTATTTTGCCCAAGATCATAGCACCAAACTCAGGTAGCTCAGTTCGAAAGTCTGCTTTGAAATGATATTCCACATTGTATATGCATAAAATAAAAATAAATTCAAAAGAAAGTCCTAACCATTTCTGAGTTCAGTGCTTTGAGAGACACCTTAATAGATTGACTTATTTATACTTATGACTAGAAAATTCTACAGTAAGGTGGGACCTGTAGGCTAGACCAGAGATGCCTTTAACTGGTATTGTTCACTAATAGTAAGATCTATCACAGACATTATGGAGGACATTTAATAGCTACAGTACACTTAGAGACACATTCTGGGAATATATGTTTCAGGCAGCTGCAGTTCTTCTCAGATCAAATCATATTTCTTGTGAAAACAGTGTGTGTGAACTGATAGGACATCAAAACTGAAGGGATGGATCAGTGGGTTTGCATTCTGAATGGAGAACAAGAGTCCATTTTTATTTGCTCTTAGACTCGTGCTTTGAATCATACAATGTTAGATGTGATGGGAATGTTAGAAGACGCTACCTCCAGTTTGCGTTTTAAATGCCCATGCTTCATGTTTAAGACCAGAATAAAAGTATGTAACAAAAAACATCTGGAGGCTTTTGAACAATTTTCTTATGGTGGAACAATGTCTAAATTAATTGATACTTGAAAAAGAACAAAGGAGAGACAGCTAAGAAAGCTTAGTAAATCAAAGTTAGCTTTTTTCAAGAAGAAATCAATCAATAGCTGCTATTGCTTTAATAAAGAATTCCCTGCAAACACTCAACCGCAAACTCTAAATGGGAGAAGCAGTCCATCTAAGCTCTGTGAATGGAAATGGAGAACTAAGATCCCTTTTATGGTTAAGTATTTAATTTAATGAATGTGATGTTTTAAAAAATGTTTTACAGGCACATAAAATATTGCAAATATAAGTCTTTCAACTTACCATGAGAAATAAAAGAACAAAGAAAAGTAGAAAGTATGGTGCCAGATAATGTACCAAAGGTGGCTTAGCTTTTCAGGAGACCAACTGTGCCTCACCTGGGATATTCATTCTAATGACACAAGAGAAATGCGCTGGGTCAGGGAGGGAAAAATACAGTTAAATAGTATAGAAAATGTAAAGCACCATTTAAACCCCGAACATTGAAACTCCTTTCTGTCCCTTTCACACACGGCCTTGACCTTGTATTTAAGCTCAATCTACCTGATTAAATTAGTTAAAAAAACACTCCTTTTTTAAAGCTCAATTTTTATAACAATTTCTTGCTAAGAAAGTGTAAGCACAGTCCATAAGAGACTTTATATCATGTAATGACTTTTTAAATTCTTATTTCAAATTAAAAACAACAAGGCAGAGTGTGAGGACTGGAGCTTTTTAAATATTCCCAAACAATAAGGTACACTAATTTACGTATAATCTGTAAGCTTGAAAATTACAGATTTGGGGTTTTTTTGTATTTGAAATGCAAACAAAAACTACTGTTATAATATATGTATCATTTGACACTTTCATATATAATAAGGAGAGTGAAAAAGAAACATTCATGTCCTCATTAAAAAAATAAAATTTTACTCATTGAACCAACTATACACATTTATTGCATGTAAAAGTAGGGAACTCAGAGTCTCCTCTCTATGTTCAGATGACTTAATGACAGTCATGTCATGGCATCTCTAACTATTTTCACATAGCTTTCCATGAAGAAATATAATTCTTAGTCTTATCTATCATTGTTTACTTCAAAACTGCATAATGTATAGTCAACTATTTATGGATAAGATGAATTATATTGCAGCTTTAACTTTTCAGCTTTACAGCTCTTGCTTGTGACATGGAAAATGAAGAGATTTAAAATCCATTTCAAGCATGTAACTACAGTTTCATAAAATTTTATGTTCCACAAAATATAACATGTGATAAAAAATGTAAAGTGCAGAAAATATTTTCCATTACTGCTTTTTCATGTCTACAGGTTTGGGGGCTTTAAAAAGGTTAAATGGGGGGGAGATTCCCTTTTTTGTTGAAAAAAATAGGTTACAGTACAATGAAGAACACAGCAAAAGGGATAGATAACTCACTGTTTAGACTAAGTTAGTCCACCCGAGTTTTGTTTCCAGCCCCTCAACTTCTGGGTTGTGATATATCAGAGACCTAATTAATATCTCAAGCTTCAGGTTCCTCATTCTCATTGCTAAGGTGGAAAAGATTATTAATGATTTCAAAGAAGACAATGTTTGTAAAATGATTAGTACATCTCTATAAATTATTTACATAGAAAAGATTAGTATAATTTTAAATAACCAAATGATCCCATTTCATTTGATCTGTAATGTTCTCGACACACATACCCAAGTCTAATAATAAAGCTTAAGTCTACTCATTGGCCTTGTTCAATTTTACTCCGTGTTACTTTTCCTGTGTTGCTAATGGACCTTGAAATTGATGTGGTGCATTTTAAGATCAGCATCGATCTCTTCTTAGTCCCTGATGCCTTTCAGTGGTACTGACTTTGTCTTCATATAAATCCTGTTACACATTTACATATGAAATCATAAAGTACATTTAATGTAAATTTGTCTTATCTGCAACCATCACAAAAGTAAGTTTATTTTACTGTTAAACGTTTAAAATAGGCACATAAAATTTTGATTCATTAAACACTATAAGGTTGATTTTATTGCTACATAGCCCCAAAGTGGGAGTAGGTAATTTTACTTGGTTTAATGGAAAGAACTCTGGGCAAAGAGTTGGATAACCCAGTTTCTATTTTGATTTCTGTAATTAACTACCTCTATAATATTGAGAAAAATCACTTAGGCTTTCTGGTTCTTAATTTCCTCATTTGTGAAAAGAAGTAATTTAAACAATGTTCTCCTAGGGAATTTCGAATCCCAAGGCCTGATTTTATGTCATGACAAAAGCCATTGATTTCATTAATACCATGTTTTCTCCTTCTCCTTCGTCTTTTCTTCCTCCTCTTCCTCCTCCTTCTTCTTCTTATCTCTAGCTCCTTTTCTTAACAATTCAAATTGCATTAACAATATTTTTGGAACACGTCTCCAAAGTATTTCCATCTGGTTTAATAGTTGCCTATGATCAACTTAATTGGGTGACAGCCTGAGTGGTCATTCTCTCCAGGAAGGAATTATGAAATGAGCTGGACTGGTCAGTAGAGGGTCATGGAATAGTTCTAGCCTAAACTTGTTATGCAGCTTTTAAAGGAATTTTTGTATATGAACTGATATTGGAGCTGACTGCTCATATGACTTATTATTCTCCTTTTCTGAACAAGGCCAATACATTTCAAGCACCATTAGTAACAAGTGTGTACTCGAAACCAACTAATGATATGGCACCTTCTCAGAGAAGCCTTCAGGATGTAAAATGGATGGTGAGTCTCCTATACCTTCAAGAATAGAAGGATCATAGAACTAAAAGTACTCAACATTTTATAAGGCAATAAATGAAGCCTGTTTGAAACTAAAATACAGTATTATTTGTGCACTCTTTATGTAAGAAGAATGAAAAAATTAGAATTCAAGTAAAATCATGTTCAGCACAGTGTTTCCCCACAAAGCACGGGGGACTGGCTTGGGCAGAAGGTAAATTGTGGGTTCACAAAGGTTCAATCAGAAAATGTCAAATATGATCTATGAATTGTGAAGTGTTCCAGTGTGTAGCTATGATTATGAATTGGGGAAGGGGACTGCGAACAATGACCCTGCTTCATTCAACATATATTTTGCAAAATGATGGAGCTGCTAAGATTTCCTTTTATAAAATTCCATGTTTAAAAAAAGGCTTAGAATGGCTAGCTTAGAGAATACTGGTACAGAGTGTGATCAAATTACCAAATCTCTGTATTTGGTTTGAGTTTAATTAACTGTTATTACTTGAATGGCGGGAGTAGACCTGTGCCACAAGCGGTCTGTAGTGAGTCAGTCAACACATTCTTTGGGCTTCTTCAATGATTTACATGCTGCAAGTGCTGCCCTCCACCCTGAGCTCACCACACACCAGATCATTTGCCTCCTCTTCCCTCATTCAAAAGTTAAAATTGGCATGCATTTCACTCTGATCTAAAAGAGAAAGCAGACTTGTTTCAGATTGTACAAAGGGTGAATTAGTAGAATAGTAAAATCTGCTACATTTCCTTTTTTTAACTAATTTTGATATGGACTAGATTTGTTGATCTTTGGGGACTTAGTGTTTGATTTGTCCCCAAATCCATAGCACTTGAACACGATCAGCATTTAACAATGACTATTGCATGGCAAAAGAAAGTAGATAGTTCTGCTTTGGGGGAACTTAGCAAGATTCCTTTATATGATTGAAAAAATAGGTTCTGGGTAGAAGATTTTTAGTTCCTTCTATGTAGAAAAGTTAGAATGCACCTTGGAATTGACATAATGTCATCACAACTATTCCTTCTCTCTTTTCTTTATCTCTCTTATTTTAGTCTCCCTTTGCGTGTAGACTTCATTTTCTTCTATTTCCATTGTGCTTCCATTATATTGTCCAGGGCACATGGATTATCTATCTTAGTGGTCACGCACAGACTTTTTGGCTGACCAGAAGGGCAGATTCTGACCTTGGCCAGACCTGGCATGTCTGCCCATAGTATGGCCAAGGGGATAAAATGCAGTAATTAACAACATTAGATTTACAGGATGGATTGTTTCAGGATCACATATACAAAGGGAGGAGCAGATGTGTTTACTAGAAATAGTGGATTTAGGATACTGGCAAGGAAAATTAAAGAAGCAAACAAATTAAATAATGTGTCAGAAAAATGGGGAACATAATCAGGAGATAAATTGGTTATGAATATTTGTATAAGTACTGTGCTCCAGGCGAGGCTATTATGAATATTTTTAAACAATATAACAATATTAGCCTTCTCTAATTAACTATATATACTAGTTTTCTGTTGCTGCCTAACAAACTCCCACAAAACTTAGCAGGTGAAAACAGCATCCATTTATTAACTCATAGTTCTGCGTGTGGAAATGCAGAATAGCAGGTCAGGGGTCTTTGCTCAGGGTCTCACAAAATTGAAACCAAAGCGTCAGCAGAGTTGTTTTTCTCTCATGAGCCTAGGGGACAAATCAGCTTTCGATCTCATTCACACCATTGGCAGAATTTATTTTCTTGCCATTTTACGACTGAAAACCTATTTCTAGTGCCAGCAGTGATGTGAGGACTGCCCTCAACTCTTCTAGGTCACCCACCTGTATCAGCAATTATCAACATGCGTGTTTGTGTTCTTCTAAGTCAGCTGGGGTATGTGTCTGTGACTTCTTCTTTCTACACCCAGGAAAAGACTTTTGCATGTAAAGGTGATCTGTGGTTAGGTCAGCCCCACCCAGGATAACCATAGAGTTGAATCCATAGACTTCACTTTGTTGGAGATTGTGCGGAGAGTGTATATATACCCAAGGGGGAGAAATCTTGGGCAAAATGGTAGAATCCTGCTTACCACCCCATGTGTCTGAATTCAATCATAATTGAGAATTAAGATTTGATTTGGATTTAGTTTTCTATTAAGTATGCAATAGCTTTATGATCTACAATAATACAATAACCAGTGATATACAGAGAGCTGAAAATTATAAAAAGGAAAGAATAGAGATCAGTAAATAAACTATGTTTTAATTTTGGAAATAATACAACTATACACTCTATACTATTTGTGTTAGCTTGGGTCAATGGTGGTACAAACACACACACATGCTCAATTCCATAGATTCCATAAATTGCTAGGAAATTTTAATAACAAAGCAATTCAGTATCTTTTGAAAAATAGTAGAACACTGAGAGATTTATCTATCACTTAAGGTATTGCTTGATATCAAATTAAGCAGCTGCTTTTATAATCCAGAATTTCTCATCAAAAAACTTTAAACTCTATAAATTCAGTAGCCTGAAATCAATTTATTTTACGAAAGCATACAATAATATGTATTTGTTAAAAGCAGTCAAAATTGAGGTTTCAGCATCTGTTAGGGATGTCTTTATTTTTTTTTCAATAATGTGTTTTTATTTATATATTTGAAGTCAAAGTGGAACTATTATATCTTTGGAGATTTACTTGGAATCCTATTAACCCTAGTGGGAAACTAGTGAACCCTGAGAATGATTCCTTCTTTAATGTGTCTATAATGAGAGCTTTAAAACAGAAATCTGTGGCTAACCAACGTTCAGATACAAGATTCAACTTACCGCAGTTTGAATTTCTTACACAGACATCACTGTTTCTTTTTCTTATTAATATATTGAAATGTAGCATTAAGATTACTCATGTTCTTACTTTTGGGAAAAAATGAATATTTAATTCCTAAACACTATACAAATAAGATACTATTTATGTGTATAAGGTTGAGACATATGAATACTAAACAGGAAATTTGACATAAAACAGCTTGACTCATTATACAAGGAAAAAAAGAGCACAACTTATACATGGATTTATTTTTTCTGTGTTTGTAATATTATACTTTCAAAATCCATTTAAAGCAGGTATTAGAAAGTGAGAAAAGGAAATAAAAGGCTTCCATGAGGTGGCTTTGGGATTAAAACATAAAGCAATCCCTACAGTAATGCATGCAGCAGAAAATGGGTCACCTTCAAACCACCCTTGAAAATAAGCAGATAATGTAATTTCCGATTGCATTCTTAAGAGCATCACTTCACAGTGGGCATATCTACTTAGCTTTTCACTCAGTTTGGAAACAAATGTGTGTATGTGAGCACAAGAAAACACACATACTCTTTTATTCTCCTTTTTTCCCCACACACAATCTGTAAACACAAACACACCTAAATGTCCTCATATGCATGCCCATGTCTACTTGCATGGTCATTAGTTAATTGTGAGAGAAAATGGATGCATGTTGATGACTGTTTCTCTAACTGGATGGAGTTACTCCATTATGTGTTTAACATAATAGGTGTCTGTATGTTTCAAAGCAAATTATGGTATAAATAATATGCAGAAACAGAAATAACTGAGGTGTAACTGAAATTTTAATATAAAAGTATATTTTGTACACCATCAATATCATTCACACTTTTCTAGATGAAAATTAATTATTCCAAATATATATTTGATACCTTGTATATTATCAGAATATTCCTAACTGCAAATATATTGCTTTATGTTTTAAATAAAACACATGCTTTTTAAGATATATAATATATGTTTACTGAATTTTTCAGTAGAAAAGTGTGAACTGAGAAGCACAAAACCTTACAAAGATACCGTTTTGAGTGAATATTTTTCTTGTTATGACCCATATTGTTCCCAACTGGGCTCCTGTCTCCTTAAGAGGAAGGACTAAGTAATGTTTTCTATTCTGGTGTCTCTTGGAATCAATAATTGGCAGTGCAAAGCATTTTTAATTAACCTATTTTCATTAATGCATCCATAATAATACAATCTAGTTTTGCTGAAACCGATGTCACAAAACCAATTCTGAGTAGCTTGTATCAGCCGCTAATCTGATTCTCTAACCAAAGATTCAATGATTTCTTTTGTCATCGTTTTCAAGAGAGACCTAGTTCTGAAAGTGAAGACATATGACATTACATTAACCAAATTTAAAGAGTTGATTTGGTTTAACTGTAAGTCCCGAGGGTGTACAGGGTTAGAGTAAGTGACTTCAATCTCAGCTTTGTATCTTTCTATTTGCTTAACTTCAGGGAAAGTCGCTTCTCTGTTCCTCAATTTCTGTAGCTGCAAAATAAGGATAAGTGTGAGATTGTACTCATTGTTCTGAACAATAAAGTGGTTTTAGACTTCCAGAGCCATCGGAAAGTTGTCTAGGAAGTAGTAGAAGCTCAATAGAGTTTTCTGTCATTATTTTGTATCCAATTAGTTTTCTCGTGCCTATGAATATAAATTAATATAAATGGAAACAAATCTTGCTGTACTCATCTGAATGTAAATAGAGAGAAATGAAGGAAAATGGATGCTATGAAGTTAAATACAATGTCCTCCAAATTTTATGATATAACTATTAGAATCCATATTTTACATATGAGGATTCTGACACCCAAATAGATCTAGTAACTTCCACAATAACATCCAGGTAAGAATAAATGGGCTTGCAGTTTTAACCCCAAATGCCTGGTGCACATGATCATGGATTTTGGATCAGTCTATGTTTTACATTAGAGTTAAGATTTGAATCTGAATGCTTTATTAAAGGCATATGCAATGTAGTTAGGGTAGACCACATCGTTTCTGAAATTTAAATTTTACATTTTGAACCATTAAAATTTATTTAAAAAGACTTCTTTGATCAGCTCTATGTTGTTAGTACATCACTTACTAGTGTGAAAATTAAATAAAGCTTATAAAATTTATTACACAGTGACTGGTATTAAGTA